GTCGCTAAAGGTGGCGTTCCTGATTGCCATCACATCGGCCAGACGAATTTCGGAACTGGCCGCACTGTCAGTCAGAAACGACCTATGCATTTTCCACAAGGACAGGGTGGTCCTTAGGTTAGATCCTGCCTTCATACCGAAGGTGAATTCACTCTTTCACAGGACACAGGAAGTAATTCTCCCAAACTTCTGTCCAAATCCAACACATGACCGGGAGCGGCAGTGGCATACATTGGACGTCCGCAGAGCCTTGCGGCGTTATATAAAGCGTACAGAACCCTTCCGCAAATCGGAGGCCCTATTTGTGTCCTTCCAAGCGGGCACCTTGGGGCGGAAAGTTTCCACGGGCACCATTGGAAGGTGGATCCGAAGCTGTATCGCAGAAGCTTACAATGTATCATCCCTGCCGCCCCCAAGTCATCTCACGGCCCATTCCACTCGAAGCGCTGCAACTTCGGCGGCATGGGCTACCCAGGCGTCAATCGAGGAAGTTTGCAGGGCCGCGACATGGTCCTCGCCTTCCCCGTTTATACGACACTACAAGATAGACCGCTTTGCATCGGCGGACGCCTCCTTTGGTAGGAGGGTCCTCCAGCAAGTTGTCTCAGAGATCAATCTACCGGCCTTATCTGTTTCCCACCCCTTGGGACAGTGAGGCTTTGGTACGTCCCATCCGTGGATTATCCATCTCCTGTACTGGAGAAGGGGCGTTGGTCTTACCTGAACGCCTTTTCTCAGTACGGAGATGGATAATCCACACCCACCCCAAGGCCAGCAGGCCGCTAGTAGGGAGCTGAGAGCCAATACCTCGTCAATCATCAGCCAATTCGCCCTCGTTAAGAATGGACTCCACAGGAAGTGGGGGCGTGTCAAGCTTTGGCTACTTGGTCTCAAGAGCAGGCAGACAGAGAAAACCCATCCGTGGATTATCCATCTCCGTACTGAGAAAAGGCGTTCAGGTAAGACCAACGCCCCTTCTAATTCTAAGTAGTTCAGCTTAACTATTTGAAACTAGAATTTCTTAATTGGAGACACATTTTTGAGGTAATATGCATACTTTGGGGCTCTGAATACAGATAATTCGAGAGTAGATTCCCTTTTTGTGACTGAAGACTGTACATTTAAAAAAATGGCTTGAAGGACTGCAAGAAGATCATATGATATTACATGATAGGCAGTTTTGTCTAGATTGTGGGAGGTTCAAGGGAGTTAAGTGTTGAACTTTAAAAAATACTAAATTGTGGATCATTTTACCTCTTAATTTTGATATTCTGAGGTCCATACATAGGGCCCACGTTTAGACTATGATTGGTCATATCTGTGCTAAATATTGGAGAACAATTAATGAGAATTTCTGAGAGTACTGAGAATACTCTGTGAATGTTCGTGTTAAGTACAATCTCAATGGGTTTTTAAAAATTTGTTACATTTATATTCTTCCTCCAGGAAATCAGTGTACAGTATACAGCAATCATTCTTACAGTTTTTAAATTTAAAAACCATGTAGTATCTGTTTTCTATGAGGATCTTAAATGTTAGAAATTTTAGAAGGATTGCAGTTGGTATTTCAGTCTAATACATTAGAAAATATTCTTAGCTAGTAAATACCATCTGTGTTTCCCTAGATCAGGGATGGACAGTGTGGTGAATCTACTGGTTCTTTTATTGTTACCTGGTAGGCTTTCTATCATTACCCTCCCTTTTTAATTTTAGGTAGATTCCTTTAATTAAAAAGAAAATAAGCAAGTTGCAACGTGCCTGAAAAATTATAAAAGGAGCATACTTTAGAAAATATATTACTTTTCAAAGCAAAACTGGTTTTCTTTTAATTTTTCATCATAAAACAATTCAGAAATCTTGAGTCATACACTGAATATAACTCCTAGTTTGTTTTATTTGAATATGAATAATTACATTTCACCTTAATACCCAGGAACCAACCAGATCTTCAGAATCTTATGAAAGGCTAACAAGGTTGGGGCCATCAGGATTTCTGGAGGAATATTTTTTTTACATGCCTGGCAAAGCCAAAGAGTAGGCTTGACTCCAGGGACCAATGAGATTGCATTGTTTGGTGATGGGATATGGAGCACGCCCTCTCTGCTAGACCTGATGGGTTAGTCAGAGACAGTGGGGACTGTTAATGCTGCAAAGAGCCTGGCCCCATGCCATGTGGGGCTTTATAAGTCCTTTTAAAGCCACAGATACATTTACCACTTTTAGTGCGGACAAAAGCACATTTTAAAATGGCTGAAGTGCTTCTTTGAACCTGCAAGTCCACAGAATCATTATGTCTATTCTATGACTCTGTGTCTTGAAAGATCGCAACTAACTATTTAAAAGCCTTCACATGCTCAAATGTTTTCCCCATCTACTACCCATTGGAGACTTCTGAACGTTTATCAAAGGCAGTTTTGTTTGGTTGGTTCTTTATGTATATATGTAAATACGTAATTATTTCAAGTTTAAGGCTACCAGATTTCTTAATGCAGGGGTGTCAAACTCAATTTCATTGAGGGCCGCATCAGCATTGCGGTTGCCTTCAGGGGCCGGGTGGGTGGGGCCTACTGGGTGGGCATGGACAGAGTGTGTGTGGCCTACTGGGTGGGTGTGGTGAGCTCTACATCGTTCGCATCAAGGGTGCCTGTTGGGGCCTGGGCAGGAGTGGGATAGATCTGAGGGTCTCTGGCGGAAGGGGGTAGGACCAGGGCAAGTGCCAAGGCATGGTCCACTGGAGGAGCCCCACTGTTCTTCTCAGGCCAGGTGGGGGGGGGGCTTATGGAGTTAAGACTGAATGTGTTTCAGCATAGATGGCCACCACAAAATTGTATATTGGCTCCCAGCTGGCCTGGGCCAGGGCCAAGGCAGAGGGGGCTGTTCCCTCACTGTTTCCAGGATGGCTTCGTGGGCCACATGAAACCACTTCACGGGCCGCATCCAGCCCCCGGGCCTTATGTTTGACATGTCTGCTTTAATGACTCCAAGTGCTTTACAATTAAAAAAGAAAAGTAAATAATACAGAAGAAATTTACAACCATTAAACAGACAACATACTAACAAAAACAAAACAAAAGGACAACCATCTTATCCCAAGGCCTGTGAGAAAAAGCATATTTTTAATGATTTTCTGAATGTCATTAGGATGGGAGCTCTATTAATTTTTGCAGTGATATACACATTTTCTGGGTCTTGTTTAATTGACAGGAAAACCAGGGTGCACCCCACCAGATAGGAAGGAATAATTGGTGAGAAACAGTCCTTCAGTTAGCCAGGCTCTTTCCAATGAAGAGCTTTATAGGTGATAACCAGACCTTGAATTGCACGTAGAACCTGCATCTTCCTATGCAATTCATCTAATTCTGTTGTCTTAAACTCATTCAGAATTCTTTGATCATATTTATTTTGATTTTCAATCTCATTTCTGTCCTTTCAGGAATGTGTGTGTATAATGGGTATTTTTCTTTTAGCGAATATTGATCTGAAGCAGGAATTAAATAATTGTTATCCTTTGCTAAATTTACTGAGCAGCTGATTCTTTTTTCTTGCTTTTATTCTGAACATGTTTCACTAATCTTTGGCTTATTATGAGAAGGAATCCATCATTATGTGTGGTTACTTTCCCCTGCTTTTTCTGCTACTTCCAATTCCTTGTCATGGAGCTAGTGTATCTGTCCTGGAAAATTCTGAATGACTTCTAAATTTTATAGGGGGAGGGGGTTCTGTCACCTAGTGTTCATTGGGATATTTGAGGCACAGTTATAGTACTACACACAGTTATAGTAATACTACTTATTGACTAACATCAACTCAAGGATTGCTGATCTTATTGTATTATTCTTCACCTTTGAAAGAAAAAATTAAGGAGAATATTTGTAGCTCAGGATTGAAATGAGGGGTTCTTCATGCTCTCTGAGCTTGCTTGTTTACTTGCAGACATTTCATTACCCAAACTAGCTAATAGTGCCACTAGCACTGATGATGGTTACCTAGTTTGAGTAATGAAATGTCTGCAAGAAAACAAGCTCAGAGAGCACCAAGGACCCATCAAAGAAAACATTGCCAGCAAGACAAGTCAAGAATTTGCTGGAAGGCTCATGTTTGGCGGAATTCATCTTTGATGGATTCCAGTGGAGTTTTTTTTCCCCCTTCAAGCCACTGAAAGATCAGGACTTTGTTTTTGGACAATTTCATCTTTCCCCTGATTGGGTAGTCAGTAACTAACATATATAATAGTACTGCTTTTATTCCTTCTATGCTTTCTATTATTCCTAGTTATTCTCAGGAGTATTATCAAACTGAGTTTTTTCCTTCAGTGTTTTCCACTGATATATAATTCAGTAAATCTTACATTCTGCAAGACCTATCATAGAAAGTTATACTAAATTGTTGGCAATTTTACTTCCATACTTGGCTCTTCAAAACAATTGCCAGTTCTGTTTTTGTAAAAGCTTGAGCCCCACTGATGACTTCTCTGTTGTAATTTTTTTTCCTAAGCCAGCATCTCTATTAATTTTTTGTAACAGAGCATACAAAGATAATATGATAACTATAAGCATTATTTTTACTCCAAATTTAATTGTTAAAAATAAAACAAATACATACTTTAAATGAGATGCTGTGTTACTATGATGGCATACTCTATGATTGAAAAACTCTAATGGCTTTATTTTTTAAAAAAAAAAAACAAATCTATTCTATTTATATATAATGTACACAGTGGCCCCAAATAGTATATAATAATTAACAATATTTTCTCTCAAATGTCCAAAAGAGATTTAATCTTTCTAATCCCTGTTGCTTCGAACTACTTAGCACCTTTTTTTAACCTTCAAAAAAAAAAAAAGTATTTGAGTACTTCTCATCTTTGGCCAGTGTTCCCTAATGGTCGGTTCATTGAACATGAGAGACTGTTTTTTAATATCCTGTACATTAAATATTTATAATGTTATTGTATGAGTTTCAAGATGAAGCTTACTTTTATTTGGGCTGTTCTCTCCTAGATATTTAAAAAGATTTAAAGTGATGAAAATTAAAGTGCTACGAAGCTGGTGCCGGCAAATACTCAAGGGTTTACAGTTCTTGCACACACGCACTCCTCCCATTATCCATCGTGATTTGAAGTGTGATAATATCTTTATCACTGGCCCCACAGGATCAGTCAAGATAGGAGATTTGGGCTTGGCAACTTTAAAACGAGCTTCTTTTGCCAAAAGTGTGATAGGTAAGTTCCAGTTCTGTTCTAGCAGATCTCATTTGAAACTCTTAATAAAACAAAATAAGCTTGCTTCTGAGCTTTTTCCATATTTCAGTTGTAAAGTCTCTGATGTAATAGACCTTGTACATTATGCATCTTTGGTATTTGGGTATATTGCTGGAAGAGTGCCTATACCATAGATTGTTACAATTAGCAGAACACTCTTGCTAAAACCATAATATATGCACTCTAGTTAAATATCTGTTGCAAGTGGGAAATAATGGGAAACACAAAAGGGTGACACAACTTTTTTTTTTTTTAAGCAATCTTACCATCTAACCATCAGTTTCTGGGGTTTTACATTTACTTTGGATTTGCCAGATATTTTATTGCCATAGAACTGGTTTTAACGGCTCTGTTCTGCTATTTTCTGTGTGAAGGAAGCAGGCTAACAAGGGAGAAGATTGTCCTTTTTAGTCTGCACTTGTGTGTTTTTAAGAATGCAGTTCTTGTTTTAGATCCCTTAAAACTGATTTTAAGGGTACAGTTTCTATTTGCAGATATCTTGTCCTTGTCACAATGAAACATTTCCTGCTTTCCAGCCAGTCTAGAAACATTAAACATTAATGATTAAAAAAAATATGTGGAAATGACCAGTTTCCTGAACATAACATTCCTCTTTCCATGTGTTGTGTTCAACTTTCAATTGGTAATTTACCATATTATCATTTTTTGTTAACAGTTGTGTTAGTATGCTGACTTTCAATTAAGACTTAGATACTAATTATTGAACCATGGGAGGGTGGATAGCAATTTAAAAGTTAGTCTATAAATTTGCATAAAATCTGGTTTGCCTGCAGGAAATAATTCTTCCTTATTGTAAATATTTCTGGCTTTAAATATCTCTGATTACATAGTATAGTTTTCTACCATATGAGAAACTGCATTCATTTCATACCTCAGGGATAATGCATCTCCTGCAAATTGTTTTTTGATTCAGGATTTGTTAATCACACACTCTGTGTCTATAACTCAATCTCTTTATATTTCTGAGTATTTTTGCCTATAGGATTTCCCTCACTATTTCCTGTATCTGTAGTAGGCCTATTAAATGTACTGCAGGTGAAATGGTAAGTATGTAAAAAGGGCTCTGGTGAGTGGCCTTTGCAGAAAATTTTAAAAATCAATTTTTAAGAAAGCTTTATTCATAGACAGGTTTTTCATTGCAAGGCTTTGTTTAAAGTGACACTATTAAAAAATAAATAAATGGAGCATTACAGGTCAGAGACTAGCTGTGGACTCTAATCAACATTAATTCTTTACAGCAGAGAGCAGGCAGGTATGCTGAAACAAACATTGCACCTCCTTTCTCAATGGGAGGGAAGGTAAGTGTGGCTAACACGTATTTGGTTTTCAGCCTAACTAGTCTCTTACTTTTATTTTTCTCCATTTATTTTCAATCTAGGATTCAACAATCATGCTCTATTACTAAAGCCTCTTATTTTATTCCTAATTCAATTTGAATTGTAATGTTGATATAAATGGTAAAATCATAAATATTTACCATTCTTCACTTCTTGCAAAGACCTTGCAATGGAAGACCTATGGGATTCATTGATGAAAAAGAATGACTGAGGGTATCCTCCCTTTTCTTTTTGCCTCCACTTCTTCTTTTCTCACAGGTCCCCGTCTGCTCCCTTCTGCGGTGAGTAAGGCCAGCAGCCTCTGCTCGCTTTGAGACATTTAGAGTCTGAATCGTTCTTTTAAATTTAAGGTACCCCAGAGTTCATGGCACCCGAGATGTATGAGGAGAAATACGATGAGTCCGTTGATGTATATGCTTTTGGGATGTGTATGCTTGAGATGGCTACATCTGAATACCCTTATTCTGAATGTCAAAATGCTGCGCAGATCTACCGTCGAGTGACCAGTGTAAGTTTTATATATATTTCTCTAACAATATGTACATTGCCCATCGCAGATAATCAAGAGCTGTAATCATCTATGAGAGTGGATGGATAACTTTGAAGAATCTAAGCTGGAACAAAAGGAAAGTTTTCGCATGCATTTGCTTGCTTTAGTCACCTCCCATTTTGGCTAGTATAATATGCTGCATATGGGCTGTTCTTGAAGGCTACTTGGAAATGACAATTGGTCCTGTGCCATTCAAAATGCTGGTTGTCATCTTTAAAGTCCTTCATGGCTCTGAACTTGGATATCTTCAGGACCACGTTTGTTTCTGTTCTTCTCATAAGATCAGGTAGAAGAGGCTTTTTTCAGATGCTTTCATTGAGGGAATGTTACTTTCAGGGACCTTGAAGACAAATATTTTTAGTTCCTGCCATGCCCACCCTCCCCCCCCCCCCGTCCAGGGAAATCTGTCCAACTCCAAGCTTACTTGAATTTAGAATGGTCAGTAAAACTTAGTGTTTCCAGCCAGCTTTTTTTTATTGAGTCTCTTAGCATGCCTAATGCAAAATAAGGAACCTGCTAATATTGCGTGCACATCCCATAACATTGCTAGAGCATATACATTTCACTACTAGAATTTCCAAATTAGAAATATTTAAATGCATCTGCGTAGTGGTATGCACAAAATGTATTTTACTTCAAACTTGAAAGATTGTGTCTTAGAAGATCTGCCAAAATATTCAAGATGGGCTGTGGTTTGACAGAGCTAAAAGCTGAAACATTTTGGTTCTGGAGTTTTGCTGAGACAAAATCTGGAGAATCCTGACACTAAAGAATGGCTCAGGACCACTTGTCACTTGATGGAATTGGGTATTTCTCCAGCAGGATGGCTGTAGAGTCCAAATGGATGGGTTCTATGACGGCCTTCCTGCCTGGCAGACTGGGTAAAAACTTCGGCCACACCCCTTCCTTTGGGCGTGACCCCAGTTTTGACTCAGTCTCGAAGCCTGGTAGAAGTGCGAGAGGCAGCTCTCAGAACAAAACTAATTTAACTCAAAAAAAAAAAAAGAGAGAAAAGGAATCCCCTCTTCCTCCAGTTGAAAGAAAAGTTTCCTGGCAGCTGATAGGACTCGAGAGAGGCAGCCAGGATCGGCGGACTCGTGAGTGGGGCGTCAGGGACTTACGGGAGGCTTGGAGCCGGGCCGGATCGCTCGCCGATTGCCGGCCCGCCGAGCAGCTGTTTGGCGCGGGGGCCTCACACCGGGTTGCTCGTCGCCCTCCGGGTCCGCCAAACAGCTGAGTGGTTTGGCCGATAGAACGAGGCGCCGCTCAGCGCGAAACAGCTGAGCCGCGCGGAAAGCGGCAAACCGCGGCGCTGCTCGGCATAGACCAGCTGAGCGGCGCGAGAAGCAGCCCGACAAGAGCAGAACTAGCGCGAGAATTCCTTTCTCCTTAGAGGAGAGGCGCAGCCCCTTAAGACTAAAGGAGTCTTACTGATTGCCAAAGTCAAAGATCCGCCATTGTTTTGAACCTCGTGGATTCCCGGGCTACCATTGGGAGGCGTGGCTTCTTCCCCATTCGCCATTTTGAACGAACGGATCTACCCGCCGTTTTTCCCTTGGGGGCGGGGCCACCACCCGGATTCCATTTCCCTGCAGACAAAGGGGGAGCCCTTATGCTAGGATCTGTGGTTATCTCAAGAAATTGAGACAAGAGGAAGGAAGAGGGAAAAGAAAGAGAACCGTTCTGATCGTGGTCTGTTGCCACAGCCACAGACTGGGGGAGAGAGAGATATAAACTGCACTTTGTCTGGACTAGGTGAGGAGGTGAGGAGGAGCATTTTTCCCTGACTGTTCCTATAGTGGCCTTTAGTCACTGCCTTGCAGGATCTTCTGTCCAAAGACTCCTGTCTGTCCGGCCATTGTTTGTATAGGCAGAGGAGGGCTCAGCCCCAAGCATCTGCATCTGATCTGCGTATCTTGTTCCCCCACTCCAGGCATTACCTACTCGGGGTGTCTGGCACAATGGCAGACAATGTCTCGTATTCAGTCACACAGGTCCCTCAATTGTCCCCCCCACAGCAACAACAAAAACGCAGATCTTCTGAATCAGAGGTGGGGGGGAAGAAGAAAGCTAAAACAAAGCACCTTTCTCAGAAGGGACAGTCTAAAACGGCTGAGCGAGAGGCTTTGAGGAGACATTTGGCTTTAGAAAGACAAATTAGCAGGGCACAGAGAACCAATGCCAATGGGACAAATTTGGTTTCCCCTGTCCCAGTGGCGGCACCCAGCACAGAACCTACTGCCGAGGAAGTGCTCAAGACTTGGTCTCCTCCTGGGGAAACTGAACAGTTAGATTCCTCCAATCCCTCCTCACCAGCTTCTTCTCCCTCACCCGACCACACTCCAGCGCCTCACCCCAGCGACAAAGCGCAGGAGAACATATGGTCGGCACAATTTCAGGCATTCATGCAGGATGCATTCTCCCAATTCATGGCTTCCAAAGGGCAAGTGGCCTTTCACACACCCCGTAAGGGACGAGCTAGGCCACCCCCTACCAACATCTCTGAATCTTCCTCTCAACTAGGAGAGGGTGACTCAGTAGATCTTGACATGTCAGACATGCCCCTCTCGGAGGACGAGGAGACTGCACCTGAGCAGGCGACGAGCTCTGGCCTCTTTAACCCAGCGCTCCTAAAATCACTCCTGGTAAAGGCTGTTTCCACAGTCAACCTAACATCAGTACAGGATGAGAAGCCCTCAACAAGCAAGGAGGCCAATCCTCTGTTTGCCAAAAAGGTTCCACAAGATAAGTACATTCCATGTGCGGAGGTCTTTATGACCACGCTGGAGGAACAATGGTCCTCACTTGCAAGCCCACCGGCACCTAACAGCGCGGAAAGAAAGCTTTTCAACCTATCTCCCTCCTTCTCTAACATGTTAGAGGTTCCTACTGTAGATAACCCCTTAATTTCATTATTTTCTACCTCCGCGATTCCAGGAGACATGGCGGAGGTCTTGAGACCTGAGGAGAAGAAATTTGAACACTCCCTCCGGCGTTCCCATATGGCTGCAGCCTGGGCGGCCAGAGCAGCCACTTCATCATCATTCTTCGCGAGGGCCAGTATCATGTGGCTGAGGGAACTGCAAGGCACGGTGCCTCCAGACCAGGTCAGAGTACACCAAACATTGGCCAAGCTCCTCGCGGCCTCGCAATTTGTCTCTGACGCTTCACTGTACGCAACAAAGTATGCGGCTAGATCCATTGCGGCCACAGTGGCCTCACGTAGGCTACTATGGCTCAAAAATTGGAAGACAGACCTGAGGTCCAAATGGCGTCTTTCGACGTCCAAATACAGTGGAGTAGCCCTATTTGGTTCCATTCTGGACCCACATGTCAGCGAAGGCAGAGACAAGAAAAAAATCCTAGTACACCCATCAAAGAAGTTAGACAGGAGAGGCAGTCAGGACTTCCGGAGACAGGGCTCCCGCCCAGGAAGCCCCTGGGAATGGAGACAGCCCTTTCGATCAGGGCAATCCTGGGACTGGCCCAGAGGCTCACGATCCTTCTACCCCAGACAGGATCGAACCCAGGATCGCCAGAGCCCGGGAGCCAGGGGCCAGTTCCAGTCCAGACGCCCATATAGGGGAGCGGGAGGCAGATCCTTTAAGCGTACCAAGTGACGCCAAACAGGATACTCCCATTGGGGGTCGGTTAGGAAATTTCATCGAGGTCTGGGAGCAGACCACGACCGACGCCTGGGTTCTGGAAACGATCAGGCATGGTCTGACCTTAGACTTCTGTTCTCCCCCACCAAACCGGTTCATCAGATGTCCCATCTCCAGAAGAGCACACAAGACGAGGTTGATAACTTCGGCCATAGCCCACCTCCTGTCAATCCAGGCCATAGAGAAGGTACCAAAGGAGGAGGAGGGAAGAGGATTTTACTCTATCCTCTTCGTCATCCCAAAGACATCAGGAGGGTGGAGAGCAATCTTGGACCTGAAGGGCCTGAACTATTTCATAAAGTACAGGAGGTTCAAGATGCACTCCTTGAAATCCATCCTAGCCAGCGTCAGGGAAGACGATCTATTATCCTCAATAGATCTCACAGAGGCGTACCTACACATTCCCATCCATCCCAGCTACTGGAAATTCCTCAGATTTACCTACGCGGGTCGACATTACCAATACAGGGCATTACCCTTCGGGCTATCATCAGCACCAAGGGTATTCACCAAGATCCTAGCTGTAATAGTGGCCCATCTCAGGTTGATCCCGGTTCGCGTTCAGTTTTATCTGGACGACATCTTGATTCAATCCAGATCTCGGGAGCAAGCAAGGGCAGATCTCGAGACCACAATCCGAACCCTACAGGGGCACGGATTCTCGGTCAATCTAAACAAGAGCCACCTCATTCCCTCAAGGAGACTGCAACACCTGGGCGCGATGATAGACACGTCACAGTGCAGGGTATACCTTTCCCAGGAGCGACTGATCAACATATCCAAGCTAATTCACCAAATTCAAAGGATCAGGAGAGTGCCCTTGCTACAACTCTCGAAGCTCCTGGGGAAGATGATATCTTGCATGGGCATCATCCCATGGGCAAGGCTCCACTCGAGGGAGTTGCAGTGGTTCCTCCTACCCTACCAGAGGAGGAACCTCAGCACCTCCAGCAAGAGGGTGCTGGTACCAGCACAGGTGATGAAATCACTAAAATGGTGGCTATCCCCCACGACACTCAAGGGGAGCATATTCAGGGAACCGAACAGGATCACACTCACGACAGACCCGAGCCTGTTCGGATGGGGGGCCCACCTGGGAACCCAGATAGCACAGGGCCAGTGGGGACAGAAGGACCTGTCACACAGCATCAACTGGCTAGAGCTCCGGGCCATACACCTGGCCCTCCGTCATTTCTCTCACCTAGTAACGAGGAGGCACGTCCTCGTGCTTACAGACAATGTAGCAGCCAAGGCACATGTAAACAAGGAGGGAGGAACGAGATCAGTAGAACT